GCCCCTGCCTCACACTGCCTTGAGCCTGCAGCATTGGCTCCGGCAGGGTCCGCGCTCTGCTCCCCGGCTGGGATGGATGCTGGGCTCTCCTGGGCTGGTACCTGCTTGCTTAGGCTGGGAAGGGGAGCTGGTGATGAGCAATGGGTAGCGAGGCCAGGGAGGAATAGCCATGGGGTGGAGGAAACGGGGAGCTGTTGGAGTGGTGGGTGGTAGGATCTGATGGGCAGCACAGCACAAGGTCCTGTTCCCTCTGCCTGACTGGCAGGGGGAGGCAGAAGGACCTGGGTGCCGCATCCTGCCCAGATCTGCAGCTGAGCCGGTCTCTGTGCTCTGCAGAGGAAGACCGGCGGTGTGGAGGTTTCTTTGTTCTCCCTGCTCCTCGCTGCAATGGCACTGGTCCCTGTGCGTCTGCAGCTGGGGGAAAGGTGGTTGGGGAGGACAGCAAGGAGCTGGAGATGATGGGAGGGGGTACGCTAGTCACTGGTGCTTTTCTGAGCAGCAGCTGGATACTGCTTCAGGCTCCCTCTCTCTGCCCTGGCCATGCTGCTGCCCTCTCCCAGCCGTGGGCACCTGGGTGGGCTCCTGCGCCCTGGTGCCGTCCTTGGGAGTGCCTGGTCAACAGTCCTGCCGCGTACGCTGGGGTTGCTTAGGTTCCTCCTGCTCGGAGAGTGCATGGTGACACTCTTTTCCCAGGACACTGCTCTCTGTGTTGGTTTCAGCAGCACTTCTGGTGGTGGTTTAAAGCTGATCCCATTCATTGCTGGTATCTCCATTGCTGTGCAGTAGTGCCCAGGAACTGGGGTCTTGTGCTGGATACTGAACCCGCTCTATTGGGTTGGGATGTCCTCCAGCTCACTCGACTGCAGAGGCTTGTCTCTAGTGTGGGTTTGCCAGCCCCACAGCAGAGGAATTGTCCTCCTGGGGCAGCTCTGCCCTGTAGAGAGAGGCAGGACCTCAGCGGGCATTACAGGCTGTCAGCTCGGAGGTGCCTAGAGCTGCATGGGCTTCAGTAACTGGGGGTCAGATGTGCCCTGAGGACACGGACATGTACCCACCAGGAACCAGGGGCTTCTCTAGCCCCAGCCCTGCCAAGTCAATTACTCCTCTTTACAATTCTGTGTGATGGTGCCCAGTGTGATGCAGCCCAGGTTCTGGAGGGAGGGGACAGCAGCAGCTTGCTGAGGTGATGCAGACCAAGGGTGGAAGGGGTTGCAAAGCATGATGCTGGCCCTGGGGTGTTACAGGCCTTCCGTGTTGCTTGTCAGTGCTGCTTTTTAGGATTGGTTGGTGCAGGGGGCTCTTGTGAGGGGGGATGTGGTGGAGAAGCCTTGTATCCTGTGCTGAATTTCGACATGTCCTTCATTCTGGTTTTAGGTGCGGCCGTCAGGCACTGTGACGAGGAGAAGGGCTGGCTGGAGCCAGATCTCTTCAACTGCACTTCACCTGCCTTCAAGGAGCTCTCCCTGCTGGTAATCCTCTCTCAGCTCTGCAGCCATGACAGGGCAGGAGCCATAGGAACAAGGGCTCACGGCCAGGTTCCAAAGAGCTCGGCTCTCTGTGGGCACCTAGAGTAGGGGAGGGCCTTGCCACAGTGCTCAGCACCTTTCTCTTCTCTTCTTCTGCCCCTAAACCCATCCTGTGGCAGCATTGGTCTGAACTGAAGCTCACTTTGGTTTAGTCTAATATTTTGAGTGTCCCCATCAGAAATGGCCTGTGTCCTGCCCCAGTATTTAAGAGGAAAACGAATAACCTAAGCAGGGCTGAATTATTTGAATTTGGCAGCATGTCTGCCCCATGAGACATCTCTAGCCCACAGACCTTTCAGTGACAAATCCTTTTGAAGTATCCAGGCGAGTTTACTGAACACTTGTATCCCACCAAGGCTGAACTGTAGCTGAAGCCAGGAGAGTTTCCAGGGAAGAATTGCTAGATACTTGCCCTGTCCTTTAATCTTCTTGGCCTCTATTGTGTATGGTACTGGGTTAGCTGGGCCTGGCCTAGATGCAGCCCTTGGTGTGTTGCTGGAGGCTGTTTGGCTGCCAGAGATGCTCCCTGTTCTAGTGACCACCACCGTGAGTGTCCCTGGTTTACGCCATGGTTTCAGAAATCACCTCTGGGTTCA